TATTGGCATAAATTCATATTATTTTAAAATCAAATCGATAAAATTTCTAGTTTTTGAGATTTTCTTTTCTAAAAAATTAATTGGAAAAGATGGTGAAACAAATAGTATTGTTTGACGAATAGATTTATACAAACGTATAGATATTATTTAGGATTCTTACAGGAAGGTAACAAAGGAACGAAGGGTAAGTCAACGATAGGGCTTTCCTCTTTTGAAAATCAGTTAATGGTACGAACACAAATGAAACTACGAACGGTCAAAATGTGTTCAATCTCGACTGAATGATTCGAAATCGAGAGAGAAAGTGTATTTCGAACAAATAATTAGTCTGGACGATTAAATCAATTATTCTAGAAATAAATTAGTTGTTTACCCCCCCCCCCCATAGGAATCAGATTATTTTCTATATAATACCCGTCCGTCATCTTCTTTTAACTATAAAATTCCTTTTCGAAATTATGCTCTTTATCCCTTTTTCTTTTTTTTTTTTCTTTATTTGAAAGAGACTACGATATTTATAAGCAATGTATTTCATGAGATTTTATTATATTTTTAAGTATTATCATTAAGTATGTAAAATAAATGTCAACTATATTGAAAGTTGAGTTATGTGACTAGCTGTTAAATTAATTTCTTTTAAACACATACATGCTATGTTAAATCATAAAGTCTTCCGTAAAAAATGGCCACCCTAATCTATCATAATTATTTTATAACAATAATTGTATAAAAATATAACCGAATTCTCGATTAATAAGAGAAATGTAAGAAAAATCAAAAGAAAACTTACCGATAAATTATTTTTATTTGTAATACATAATAATTCAACGAAATAAACGATTATAAATAAATACCAGAAGAAGAAAAAAAGAAAAAGGATCCCTGTGCGATATATTTATCTATTTTATCGATTATGATTATTCATAATGTAATATAGAAAAATATGTGATTTATTTATGACAATTAATGTAAAAAATAGAAAATAAAATATAATATAACAAAAAACATTTGTATCTCTAAGATAAATAATTAATAATTCGATTAATGGCCTTACTTTCGTTTTATAAATAAAACATATAGTTTGAACAAATTCAACAAAATATGAAAAAAATCGCGTATCGTATTGCAAAAGGATTAATTTCAATTGTTATACTAAAGAATATATATATATATAAATGTTTAAGTCAAAGAACAATATGTACAGTGTCACGAAAATGATCATGTTCCTCTTATTCGTGTCTGTTCACTATATTTCACCCTCTCGAAAAAGAGTCCCGGACTTTATGAAATATTAATATCCAATTTATAGGACGTATACGAGTAGAGGTATCATCCCTCGTACTCGCTTCGATTTCACCCTCGACGATTTTCTATAGAGGGGGATAACAGAGACGAATCTTTTGCAAGTGTTCTGATCTAATACCCATCCTATATACCAAATCTAAATCTCAGTGAATTTCCGAGAACATGTCCCAGAGAAATCAGATTCGATCGTGGAATTGCATTATCTTATCGAGAGCATCATTGAGTTTTCTTTTTCACCCCCACCCTCCTAATTTTCACGACTATTTACTCACAAATATCCTAAGCTTTGAATGAACAGCAATTTACGTATGATACATCATCGTTTTTAAAATATATATCTTTTAAATATTAGATACTTCAATCTTTTTTCCTTACTTTAACTTAAGATACAAGTTAAAGGATTCTACTAATTTTATTTTATTATATTTTCTAATTCAGATATTAAACATGGTGACACTTAACAGATGTAGTTAAATCTTAAGTTTATTAACAGTTTTTAGTAACAAATGATCGAATAAAGGATTCTCACTCATCGTTCGAATCTCTTTGAATTTCTACATTTCTTTTAATGATTTTACTTAAAAACGAATGCTTAAACGTTTTAAAACGTGAAAATATATTTGTAAATTTTTCAAATGAATATTTTACAGTTTTCCGAAAATATCGAAAGGATCGAATACAAGTTTCCAATGAATGCAGATATTTGTATATTCCATTAAAAATATATGAATTAAATAAATCAAACTTCCGCGTGTTTGTGGGTGTATATGAAATTTAGAATGATTGTATTTTGTTTAAAATATTATTATGTAATTCTCTAATGCGCTTGGTACACGTTAGGCAACCATATGTACAATAGCATACTTTTCCCCAACAAGAAGCAGTTTCCAGCAGAGATTAGTCAACGGGATACGAAGATGTTACAAAGAAAAGATAAAAAAGGAAGTAAACTATGAAGCAGTAAAGAAATACTTTGACTGGTGAAGGACCTTGAAAATACGTAACATAGAGTTGAAAACGAAACTATCTTAAATCGAACACATTGACTTTATTTTACTCTTTCAGTATTGTGTAATCTTTGTGTTAAATTTCTATAAATTAGACTAAAATTTATAAAAAGAGTTGCTGTTATTCCGCATTTGCCACGGTTCGAATTCAAAAGAAAAAGGTTTAAATAGAGAAAATTGTCGTACAATGACACGTACATAATAATTCAATCTACAAAACATCAGTGACGCGTTATCCTACGAATAACAAGAGCAATTTCCTAGGTCCCCCATCAGGGGTTCTTTAGGGTTACGTCAGGGTTACGTCAGGAACAGGGGGCCTCAAGGTCCCTTAACCGATACTCTCGAAATTCAGTTTCTAAACAAATAGAAAATCAAATTTTTATCACGTATCTAGGACGCGACATTTTTTTGACTTGGTTAAGGGGCACACCTAGTGTGATCGTTTAAGAACAAGGTTATTTTTAAGAATTTTTTTAAAAAAAACTACTGCATGAAATATTCTAAAATTTAGAGGATATATTTATAAATAAGTAACGAATATTCACTAAAATTTTCAAATGAAAAAAGGTAATTTACAGCGAGTTATTCGCTATATCCCAAGTCACTATAAAAAAAGGGCCTAAACGGCTGCAGTGATTCCGGCCTTCACCGTGAATGAAATAAAAAAAAAAAAAATACTGTTAATCTATAAGGTATTGCCTACACAGTGACCTAAAATTGTGAACAAAAAATAAAATTTAACAAAATGGCAGACTTTTAAAAAAACAATCGAA